AAACTCTATATATATATATCGTTTTTCAAGTCACTAAATAAATTTTATCTCTGATCATTAAATCATAATCATATAAAAATGAATCAATGGTAATAAAAGAAATAAAAATTATAACCATTTAAAATAAATCAATTAATATAAGAAAATAAATAAAATAACGTAGTTTTGAGTGATCAAAAATAAATATATCTCAAGTGGCTTGAGAAATACTTTTTTCATATATATATATATATATATATATATATATATATATATATATATATATATATATATATAGGATAAAGTGTATGTCATTTTAAAGGATGTAAAGTTGTGTCATTTAAAAAGATAAACACTTTTTCCATATATATATATATATGGGATTTGATTTTCTCATGTTGCTTGAGAATTCAATTCTCATGTTGTGACTCAACTAATGGTGGGCCCCACATTTATTAAAAAAAGAAAAGTTTTGCACGCATATCGAAATGTCACAACATGAGAATTAAATTCTCATGCAACATGAGAAAATGTTTTCCATATATATATGGGATAAATAAATCTCATGTTGTAGGAATAGCCATCTCTTATGTTAGTGAGAGCTCGATTTCTGTGTTAATATTTTCTTTCATTTTCCTTTTTATTTAATCTAGTGGGCCCACTTGATTGTGTGAGTAGGAAAAAAGCTCCTCTCATGTTGCATGAGAAAATGTAACCCATATATATATATATATATATATATATATATATATATATATATATATAGAGGTAGGATCCTTTAATACCGGTGTCAAATTTGAAATTTGACACCTTATCTGAAAGTCGTTAGATCAAAAAAGATCAACGACTCTGATTTGTAAGCATGTGACACCATTGATCTTTTTTGATCTAACGGCTTTCAGATGAGGTGTCAAATTTCAAATTTGTCAAATTTCAAATTTGACTGTCAAAAGATCCTACCTCATATATATATATATATATATATATATATATAAGAGTAGCCCAGAAGCGGAATCAGTGGCAGTAGATGACCGTATTTGAATTAGTGGTTGCAGCATACGTAGGCATCGTCGCCTTGTTAATATAGAAATAAAACAAGGTTGAAAACTTTATGATTATAAGTTAAGCCATCAAAAGTCACGGCCAGTAATTATTCTCCCCTACGTTGTCTATGAGCTCATTTTCGATGCTATTGAGGTACAAACTTCTTTGCCAAAATAAAGTTTAAGAAATAAGAATAAAAATAACTATAAAGATAAGAATAATATAAAAATATACTTTTTTATTATATCTAATAAATAAAGTACTAATATTTCCAAAAAAAATAAAATAAATAAAGTACTAAGCACTTGATAGAATTGGAATACTGAAAATATTTTCGTTGTTTATATACTCTTTCGGTTCCTAGAGTCATGTCAAAGTGATGTAAGCCGTAAACGTTGTTTTGCTTCTTTTTCTTTTTCTTCTTAATTTTTTTCATGAAAGAGAATAATGGCCACGTACTATCACCATAGTTAACGTGAAAATGCGTTATCTTGAAAATATACTATAATGAACCGGGATAGCGAGATGTGCGACATCATATAATTTTTTTTAGTCTCACATCATAAAATCGTTTTTGTCATAAGTAAAAAACTTTAATATTTTTAAAGTGAATGCATATAAGTTATTTATATTTATTTTTAAAATAATGTCATTTTAAATTAAAAAATTATAATAAAAAAGATTATTATAACCTTAAAGAAATTATGATTACAGAAAGAGATGAGTTATATTTACAACTCAAATAGTTTACAAACTCTTGCATCTATATCTTAACTGTTGATTTTCGTCAATTAAAGGTTGTCATTTATTGTGAATTAATAATTAATTAATAAATTTGATTTGCGAAAATCTTAACCGTTGATTGACGAAAATTAACGTTTAAGATATGATTGTAAGAAGTTGTAAACGAAAATAAATTCTAAGTATAACCTTCCCCTTACAAAAATACTTTAATTTTTGTCCCAAAATGATATTGTTTTTTATTCAATGTAGATAATTTATCTACATCAACAGTAGAATATACGAACCGTAAGAAAAATCAATATATGAAGCTGTCAAAATTTTGAAGATTTGGGGGGTTTTAAATATCTATACTTTTCGAAATGGTTTTTAAATAACAAATAGAAAAATAAATGATAAAATAATAAAGCAATTATATTGTTATTTTTTTAAATATTAAACTTTTTATAACTAGAGATAACTCTTTAATTAACAATTCCGGTTTCTTTTCTTGATAAAGGAAATAATATGTTAAAAAAAACACATAATAATTTGAAATAGAAATGGTGTATCCATAACTATTCTTGATAGGTTCCTTTATATTAAAAATTATTTTGAGGATAAATAAAATGCAAATTAATAAACACGTGTTAATACGATAGATATTAATGAAGAAGCTCACACCATGTTTACCAAAAAAAAAGAAGCTCACACCATATAGCGAGTTGAGATATGACCAAATCTTACCCAACTCTCTTTGTGTGTGCATAGCTTGTATTTGAAAGTATCTGTGCATACTTTAATTAATTTAATTTTTAAGCTTTGTCGAAGATTGATCATTTATAACGAGACAAGAAAATTTATAAAGATATTTGTTATAACTTAATTCTAAATAATTAAATAATTATAATTTAAATTTGTGATCGTGTAACATAACAGTAAGTATTCAAAAGTTTAACCATTTAAATAAGCATGAAAACAAATGATAATATATACAAACAAAATTAAAATAGAATTTAAACAATGACGAAAAAAGGAAAACTTCATTTTCACCAATTGTGGTTTTGTGATTTATCATTTGACCCCAGTGATTTTAAACTTATCACTTAGACCCACTGTGCTGGAATAATTTATCATTTAATCTCTTATGGTTTCAAATTTTTACTTAGACCCCTTGTGGTTATAAAAAATTTCACTTAAATCCCTTGTGGTTTATAAAATAAACATTTTAAAAACATATTTAAAATAAATTTTCTCTCTTTTTTATTTTATATCCTCATGTAATGCATTTAGGGTTTGAAAAATATTTTAAGTTATTTATTCTGAAATTAATTTATAAATTATCTTAATTTTTTTATTTTAAAAATATATTTGAAATTAAAAATATTATTTAAGATGAAATTAAAAAATATTATTTATGATAAATTAAATATGTACTATCAAAATAAGATATTTACTTTCTTTAAATAGATAAAATAAAAATATTTGATTTGAATTTATTTTCTTGATAAAAATAAGTTAATTTTTTTAGAATTTATTTTTATTTTTTAAACCTTAAATGCATTAGGTGAGGATATAAAATAAAAAAGAGGGAGTCAAATATTTTTATTTTTAATTTTAGAATTTATTTTTATTTTTATTTTTATTTTTATTTTTATTTTTATAATTTTTATTTTTAAACCACAAGGGATTTAAGTGAAAATATTTTTAACCACAAGGAGTCTAAGTGAAAATATGAAATTACGGAGGATTAAATGATAAATTATTTAAGCACAATAAATCTAAATGATAAGTTTAAAACAACGGGGTCAAATGATAAATCACAAAGTCACAAGAGTGAAAATAAAGTTTACCCAAAAAACGAACATAATATTTTTAAAAATAAAAATAAAAACTAACAATCAGTTCATTCATGACCATTAGGTGATGTGCTTTCTTCTTGGGCCAAGCTTTGACTCTATCCCGGTTACAGGCTGCCCATTACCCTGCCTTCGTGCTCTTCTTTCTTAACACTAAAAAGGAAAAAGTTCACATATGATTAAGACTACGTATTATATCTACTTACTCATCATGGGTATATGTTACGGACCTTGAGATCACCATCCCAAAGGCTAGTTCAAAGGGTGGGAGTGCCCAAAGTCTTTTAAAGACCACATTAGTTTCCTATACAACCAATATGGGGCTTGTAACATTGCCACCCCCTCTAAGGGCCGACGTCCACGACGGCTTTCACTATATCGACACTGACCCGACGGTAGTAGCCCTTTTCTCCCTGGGCGGCTTCATTCACCTATTAGTATTCAGTGCCCAAAGGCACCTTAATCCAGCCTATAGGTAGTCCTTTCCATGGCCTCAACTCTCAATGAAAGCACTAATTGTTACGGACTTTGAGATCACAACCCCAAAAGCTAGCTCAAAGGATGAGAATGCCCAAAACCTTTTAAACCCCACATTAGTTTCCTTTACAACTAATGTGGGGCTTGTAACAGTATAAAAAAATGAAAACCTTAATTGCGATGCTATTACATTTTTGCATTTCTGGGGAACTGGTGTGAATTCTGAAGCCAATTGGCTGGACGATGACAGTGGTTGTTGGTTGCATTAAAATTTCATTTTATGATGTACTTTTATCGAACAGGTAAAATGAGATTTTAGTATCTAGTGGGGTTAAAAAAACTTGTATATTATTTAATGTATACTCACCTAAAGGTGATACCAAATATAATTCATAAGAAAAATCTCTTAATTGATCATATTCCAATAAAGTGCAAATCTCTGAAAAAGTAAGATGACAGAATGACACAAACTATGGAATGTGATAGCTTTAAGGACGCGTTTGGTATGCTGTAATTCGTAGGATTTTCAGAAAATTGAATTTTTCTAAATTTTAAATTTTCGGATATTATCGTAAATTGAATGTAAAAATCATATTTTTGAAATTTGAGATTTCCGGACAAATAAAAATTTCTCTTGTACCAAACGTTCCATAGAAGAATAAAATTGTCAAGCAATGGTGAAAAAAAGGGCATTGAAGGCATGAACATAAATTGTGGTTGTGAGGGACAAGAAGGGAAAAAAAAGGAGGGGCATAGTAATAGAAGTAAAGGCAACGATTGACAATTGGTTGCAGTGAGAGTGGCACCTACCAGTCCTTGTTTTGCTTCTTTTACGTTTTGGAGAGGGAGAGGAACCAACCTATCCGGAAAGTGTTTCTTTCTTAAGCAAATAAATAAATAAATAAATAAATAAAAAAGCATTAATATAAGGAGAACCAAAAAGCACTTTCTTTTTCCTTCATCACCACTTCACTATCTATATCTCTTCACACTCGAAGCGCTTTCATATTATAGAAAATGAAAATGGAAATGGGTGGGCATGGGTTCCAAATCCAAGGGATGATGATGGTTGTTCTTGTTGTGATGGTCATCTCAGGAACAGCACAAGCACAAACACATGTGCATCACGTGGTAGGAGGAGATCGTGGGTGGGATCCAACCTCAGACCTCGTTTCTTGGTCTTCAGGAAGGGTGTTTAGGGTCGGAGACCAAATCTGTAAGTCTCCAATACCCAATGTTTTGTTCTTCTACTTTCCCCTCTCTTTCAAGCCTTTGTTATTTGAGTTTGAATCGTTTATTGATTGTCTATGAAAAAAAAATGCGAAAATATGCTCTTTTTCTTTTTTGTACTACTTGATATGGGGCTTGCCGTTGATTTTATTATTATTTTTCCTTCTCTTCGTCCAAAAAAACAAAAAAAGAGAGTATGACATGTTAGCTTGTGTTTCATGCTTCCGTTTCATCAACGGAGGCTAGCGACCTGGGTTGCTAATTAGCTAATCCTCTACAACACTCTGTTTGGTTGAGCAGAAAAGAAAAGCATTACACGAATTTTTAGATTATCATATTTTGTATTTAGATTTTTTCCTCAAAATTAAAAAATTAAAAACTTTTAACCAGATATTCTTTTTAAATGCAAATTCAAATTCAAATCACAACATTCATTTTCTTATTATTGGTGACCACCGAGGTTTGATTGCATCCGTACTTTTTTTTTTGTTATCTTGACATCCGTACTTTGTTTTTAAAGTTATTTACGAATCAAACATGACTTCAAGGATTAAAAGTATTTTTATTTTATTTTTGGTTGAAAGGATAAAAAGTTTTAAAAAGATTATGTTTTGGGTGCCACACTCTCCAAATTATGTTTTGATATAAATAATTTTTCCTTACCAAAAAAGTATAAATAATTTTTTAATTGTAATGAAAAAAAATCAAACCATTACAGTTAAAATTGAAAGATAAAATAGCTTTATATTATGGGTTTTCGTTTTATCCTTTAACATAACATAACAAACTTTTCTACCCTCACAACATTTTGTGGGGCCCACACTTTTTAAAACAAAAAAATAAATAAAAAATTAAGGCACGCAAAACGAATCTCTATAACATTACACAATCACTTTTCCTACGACATAACTCTTATAAAACCCTTATATTATTGCCTTAAACTTTACACAAAATTTGTATTTTATTTTTAAAATCTCAATATTAATAATAAAAATTTAAAATTCGTTTATTGATGCTGAGAATAACAAAAAGAATATCCTTATGTTCATTTATGCTAAAAAATTAAAATGTAATACATATTGGGGAAAGATGTTGTAAAAACTAATTTATGTTACTGCTAAGTTACTACCAATCAATCTCACCGTTAGATTGATTATGTTGATCCAACGGTTATATTTATTTTAATCTTTGTATGGTCATGATTTTCCTACAAAGGTGAAAATTAATATAAAGTATTAAATATGAAAAATCATGACCTTACAAAGATGAAAATAAATATAACCGTTAGATCAACATAATCGATCTAACGGTGAGATTGATTGGTAGTAACTTAGCAGTAACATAAATTAGTTTTTACAATATCTTTCCCCAATATGTATTACATTTTAATTTTTTAGCATAAATGAACATAAGGATATTCTTTTTGTTATTCTCAGCATCAATAAACGAATTTTAAATTTTTATTATTAATATTGAGATTTTAAAAATAACACCTTGGTTGTTACATTATCTTTCCTCGTCCATATTTACGTATTTTAAAAAAGTTAGGGTAATTTACTTTCTCCTCTATTTAAATTGGTAAAAATTGACACGAGAATTTCGTGGGCAGGGTTCACCTACTCTGTGGCGCAGGGATTAATCGCAGAGCTGAAAAGCAGAGAAGAATATGAGTCGTGTGATGTGAGCAACCCCATCAAGATGTACACGGAGGGTTTGCATACCATACCGCTTGAAAGGGAAGGAATCAGGTACTTCGTTAGCAGCGAGCCCGAGCACTGCAAGACTGGTCTCAAGCTACACGTTGAGGTTCTGCCTAAGACTGCACCTGCACGTAACACAAATTATCATACTCCAACGGTTGAGGCTGCTGGGCCCACTACTCCTTCGGGCTCGGCCCGTTATGCTCACAAAACATTTCTAGTGCTCGTCGTAATATTCTGCGTCACCGTGGGCCTTGCTTATTGACACCAGCCTATATGAGAAAAATTGGTTCCGTATATGTTTATTTAAAGACAATATTTTGGGATTTGGGATATTGGTATGTGGCAGTTTTTTTTTTCTCTGTTTTTTTTAATGTGAGATACAAGTTTAAGAATGGGATTTGAGGGTTTTTTTTATTTTAATCTTGGTAAATGAATTTATCTAGAATCTTGGACAATTTCGAAATTGTCCAACTTCAACTGTTTCTACGTGAAAGATTTTAATTACTGAAATTACAGTTACCATTTATTATGCTATAATAGCTCTTGCCGATAGTATTTCGGGGGCGGGGGGGAGGGGGGAAAAACTTCAAAAATTTTCCTCGTAACTTTCCTCATAATCATTTATCTCCTCTTCAAAAATTTGAATCATTTACCTCCTGACTTAAAGTTTTTTTATCATTTAACCCTCTAAGTGAGAAGGGTAAATGATAAAGAAACTTTAAATCAAGAGGATAAGTGATAAAAAAAATTTAAATAAGAGTATAAATGATTCAAAAAATTTGTAAAGGGAATAAGTGATAATTCAGAAAATTCATAAGAAATTTTTTGAAGTTTTCCCTATTTCGAGATGTCATGAAAATTATGCTCACGATAAATTTTACAATTCAGAAAAATTATATATAATATTCTGCACTATTCACAAGAAAAATAAAACCATAATCCATTTGCGTCTACCATATCATCAACTGGTACAAGCTGTTTATTCAATGCACGAAATGTATTACATCATATATCATATTCACTCCCATTTGCAACCCATTGAAATCTGATTTTTGAGTTTTAACAACAAAAGTTGTACTCTGAATGGTCATTAGCTTCCAAATACTAATATAAAACTAGTCATAGCACGTCGAAGATAGTGCCCAACATGTAAAATTATACAAGGTATATTAACTTCTGTCTTTTTAATGCTGCATCTTCCGTTTCAACCGATCATTGGGATAATACATTGTCACCTATCTCTCAGGATAACATAACTGGATCCATTTGTATTCTTCTGTATCTTAGAGATTCTCTTCAGGATCTCAGCAAACGCTTGCTTATCCTGCACGTAGCAAAGAAGCACAAGGTGCAGTTTCAAGCAAAGTTTTGAAAATTGAACTGGTGAGGGTTGGACCAGTTTAAACATCAATCCAAACTAACCACAGTAAAAAATGTAAGTAAATAATTGCCAATAATGTACAAATTAGAGAGGACCATTCTGCCTTAACAGATAAAAAATAAATAAAAAATATTTCAAATTTTCAGGAAAAGAACAAAAAATGGCAAGCTGGGAAGTGAGTACAAGTGCCACATTGGCTAGGAAGGAAAAGCTTCTTACTCCCTTATTTTAATGCTATCACCTATTCTTTTTGCTTTTTGAGCAAACCATGTCGGGCTTTTACTTTGCACAGAGGCTAAAAATTAGTTCCAGTAAAATTGTAAAAAGTAAAACTACCATTTAGTTTGTGGTTTTGCCCATTGAATGGGCTATATTTACGGTACAGACTGATATTTTGACCGGGAATTTTAAATTTGAGAACCATCCTGCTTTTGAAAAACAGACCAGTGAACTGGTTGATTTTGTTCTACAAGGAATATGGTTTTTGTCAATCTGGACCGGAACCCTGGCCTAGTCTATGGTTCAACTGATCAATGTAGTATGGACTTTAGAACTGGTTTCAACCCTGGCAGAAAAAATTACCTTTAGAGTAAAGTACCTTTTGGATCCTTAACAAAAATCACGAGACCCATTTTAATCCTTTAAAAAAAAAAGTCAACTTCTGGTTCTTCTGAAATTCAAAATACACTCAGTTAGTCCAAATCCTAGTCCCTCTGAAATTCAAAGAACACCCACATTAGTCACTCAAAAAGACTAATATGGGTCTATTTTGAATTTCAGAGGAACCACGAGTCGACTTTTTTTTTCTAAAGGATTAAATTGGACCCCGTGATATTTGTTGAGGATCCAAAAGGTACTTTACTCTTACCTTTAAATGTTGTTTATCTTAGTACTTGGTTGCCTCAAGCTAAGAGAAGGTGTCAGATAAGCATTATTATCCTTGCATAATACATAGTTCATACATCTAATTATCCATCCAAAAGAACAAAGCAATAATTCACCATATTGCATTGTTTTGGTCCGGCATTCACATATATCAGTCAATGAGTATTGAATGTTAGCTCCATAAAAATTAGATATATGACATAATTCCCAGAAACTAGAGTCAATTTATACTCTTCAGGATGTCTAAATTTGACTAAATGTTGATAAAGATAATGAAACATACTGTCACAGTGGAATACACAAATTGGTTATAAGAATGGTTAAGCAAACATATCCAATTTGAAAAAAAGTAAAGCAAAAGTCAAACTTACCTCTGAAGATCTCAGTCTTGCCTTAAATTTAGCTACAAGATCCTGTGTGGTCACTGGAGTCTTCTGCATTAAAACAGCCCTAATTTCTTCCTCACTCACGGGTCCAGAAGCTGCGGTGGAAGAACCAGTTTTTGATGATGATGATGATGGAGGTGTGCCTTTTGGAGGTGCATTACTTTTAGATGCAGACACATTTACATCTTTGGCAGATGATTTTGGTTCCTGATTCAATAAGGTAATGAAGAATTTCAATAAAAGTTAGAGGAAAACCTGTTTTGGATTAGCTTCTAAAATTAAGTTCTTTGTGTATAAAAAAAAAGTTCTTTGACAACAAAGCTTTTTGAAAATCTCTTATACAATAAGTGATGCATCAATTGGAAAATGCTTCAAAGTTAAAATAGGAGCATTTTTGTCCAAATCTTCTCAAAATAAGTTTCCAAATTAAGCAGTATTGGCTTTTGCAATAAAATATATTTCTAAAATAAGCTAAAGAGTAAAGACCAACTTAATATTTTAGTTCTGGATTTTATAAAGTTACCGAAGCAGCTAACGTTTAATGAAACGTAAAGTAAATCAATAATTATAACAAATAAGCCCACATAATCAAGCAAGCTCACAAAAACCAACGACTTACATTTTCTGTCTTCACCTTTTTTGGTGTTGCACCATTAGATGGTTTTGCTTCCTCATTTAATTTTCTCTTCCCTTTCGAAGACTTTGAAGAAGAAGGTGTTCCACGAGCAGGTCCGGTTGCTGTGGGTTTTGAAGGGCTGTTGTCAACAGGTTCTTCCTTAAGTGCATCCTTCTGTTTTGTAGCAACCACAGGAGGAACTCCAACCTCATCATCCATCTAGACAAACAAAAATGACCTATCAATGGATGAATCTAGTTCAAACCATACGCAAAGTTTTATAAAATTCCAATGAAATCAAAACTAATCAGCCATCATTTGTGGCACAAAGAACAAAAAATTGAAGAAAATGGAGAAGTGAAAAGAGAAAAGAAGGAACAAAACTCATACATCGTCGTCGTCATCATCATCATCCTCTGCATCAGACTCAGTAAGACCACCAGTTCGCCCAAGCAACTTCTTCAGCTCTTTCCCAGATTTACTCAGACCTCCCCCCTCTTCATTATCTTCATCTTCCTCCTCATCATCCTGCAATGAAAATTCAGAATATATTCAGGAAGGAATGCCGGAATCCACAATATCATAGAAACCAAATGTGAAATTGTCTTTATCCACTCCATTTTATGTTATACATAGAAGTTCAAAATATTATAATACATCAAGGATACCTGTCATAGGTTACATTCCTAAAACTGGGTTGAAAAGTGATCTAACTCACATAAAACAAAAGAATAAAATATCATAGAACCAAACAACAATATAAAAAAATGGCTAAAAGGACATAGCATAGCATACATCCATGTAAAATGGAAACCAAGGCACTCATGAAGTGAGTGAAGCAAGCCCTAAAAACATGTAGTTTAGTCAAATCCCAAAGTTTTAATGCTGGAGTCACTAAACAGGCTGCTCTATGAAGGTACTCTTTCAGAAGAATTTCCTCATTAAATTAGTTATATGTTAGAGATATAAATCCTTCATATGCCTTCCCCTAACAGCTTAAACTTTTGGGAGAGTTGGTTAAAGACATGGAATCAGAGCCTATGACCAAATGGTCTAGAGTTCAATCTTTGCTGCCCACATTCTTATTATATAAAATCAAATTTAAGCAAAAGATAACAAAAAAAAGGGCATGTGCATTACCCACGCTTTAAAGCCCAAAGGGTTCTCACGTGAGGAGGCATGTTAAGATATAAACGAAAAATCATTAATGTGCCTTCATTCATCAGTTTAAGCTTTTGAGATAGTTGGTTCAAGACATGGTATTAAAGCCTCAATGATTAAGTGGTCCAGAATTTGATCCTTGACGTCCTTATTCTTCTAATATATGTTGTGGAATTTTTTAACACAAAATAAGTGATCCTATACATTGTCCATCCTTCAATCCTATAAAGCTCTTGAGTGAGGGGCGTATTATAAATATAAATATAAAAACCACTCACGTCCCTTCATCAAACAGCTTTAACTTCTGGGAGCATTGGTTCATGATAGTTACTTGTAACATTATCTTTATATTTTCCAACCAAGAAAATTACTTCTTGATTTTGTGCTAATTTTCTTCTCATCACGAAAGATAATTAAATCCAGTATTCTAGTGAGAATGTTGCATCTGGAGTGTGGAAAAAAAGGGGGCACAAAATGCTGTAGCTACTGGATCACAATAGTTTTGACATCCATAAATAAATCCACACGAAATATATAACATCAATTGTAGAAGTAGCTAAGGCACAGAAATAGCAATATAATTACTAAACTTCTAGGTCACAACAGATAAGTATTTGTGGAGTGGAAACCAACCTGCTTGATTTCAGGAGGAGCAGGAACTTCAGGAGCCAAATCTTCCCTTTCCTCAGCATCATTGCCAACAGCTTCATCATCATCAGTGAAAATCTCTTCATGCTCCCAATCATCACCTGTGGCAGATGTGTAACTTGTAAGTGCATTCAGAAGAAAGATAAGTATAAACTCATTTAAGTGTTCTTTAAGTTTTCAATAACAATAAACCAATTTGCTTATGCATTCATGCCCTAAAAAATCATCTTTTCATGCTTTGTTTCAATTAATGCCAAGTTAGGATTAAACATTAGAACAGAATGTGATCAATGGCAAAGGATTCCAATGAGACAATAAAGGCATATAGACCAATCAACTCAATAGTAAAACTAATACGTCGTGCTAGAAAATCAACACACTGCTACTTAGGTCACCACTGCATGAAACTAACCAGAAATAAAATGATAACCTTTGCAACCATTTACATCAGAAAATATAATGAACAAACAAGGCTAGATACTCACCCTTCTCAACATCATCGTCATCTAGATCATGGTCCCCTCCCCTTGGACCTTCTTCATCATCATCACCGGCTCTTTTATTAAGTCCAAGTCTATTCGTCCTTTCTACTTCCTCGTCTTCATCCTCCTCTCCTTTATCTGAGACATGACCTTCATCATCCTCACCAGTTTTTTTACGGTTTCTCCCTCCACCTCCACCTCCACCTGTGTTGCTTTCCTTGTCATCAAACCTACCATGTTCACCAAATGCAGCAGGCCCATTATTTGCTGCTTTCATCATCCATCTTTGATACCCATCTGCAGTTTTCTTTCTATTCTTCATCTTCTCTTCTGCTTCCTCCAAAGTCAATTGCTTATATTGTGCAACCTTGTTAAAGTTGTACCTAAAAAGAGAAACATGTCATACAATGCATCTACCTACTGTCTTTGATCAGTATTAAACATAGAAAATTACCAAGGAAAAGAAAAACAAGCAAAAATCAAAGGAAAGTTCTTCTCACAGATGAACATAATCCTTAACACAACAAGCATGTCATACAACCTTGTTAAAGTTGTACCTAAAAAGAGAAACATGTCATACAATGCATCTACCTACTGTCTTTGATCAGTATTAAACATAGAAAATTACCAAGGAAAAGAAAAACAAGCAAAAATCAAAGGAAAGTTCTTCTCACAGATGAACATAATCCTTAACACAACAAGCATACCAAGAACCAGCAGGAATGGCAACAAACTCCTTCTTTTCCTTCATTAGCAGGTAATATGTAGCTGATTGTGCACCTTCCAGATGACCCTGGTACTGGGATTGTCCTGTTTCGTCCTCCAAGAGCCAAGGCTTGTTCTTGTACTTCTCCTATGTCACGCCACAAGAAATTATGCATGGAAAAACAAAAATATATGACGTATTACAATTGACTGGTAATTATTCACTTCCTACATGACTAATACAGAACCATCTTTACACGTCCCCAACAATCATTTACTTGGTAACTCAAGCCTAGGACTTGACATCACCCTCCGAATGGATCATTAGCATAATAGAACAATATATCAAGTATCACAAGTTTACAACTTATCAGTGAGCATTTCTTTTGAGAATAATGGTGCTTTTTAGCACACTCCTTCTAAAAACGATGCAGGGAAGCCAAAAGGAAGCAATAATGCAAGGATAGATTTCAATACCCGCAAGGTATCAGTAATTTGGCGGCCCTGCAGTCCATCCTTCTGCAGAGACCACTTGTTTTCAGCACTTTTCTTCTTCGAAAAATCAGGCAACCCCGTTACGAATCTTCCAATAAAGTAGTTTTTGTCATTGGTAGAACTTGCACGAACATTATACTCCTGTCACAAACAGCTCATTAACCCCTATGATCCGAAGAATCAAACGAAAACCATACACTGGTTGAGGGAGAAAACAACCAGATAAAAAAGAGTTCCATCAAAATTCGAAAAAAAAAAAAGCCAATAAAATAAAAATTGAATATGCAAAAATGAATAACAGCAAAAAAGTGAAGGGAGAGAAATGAAACTCGAATCAAGCGAGTGACGATGGCGCCACAATCGTAACATTTGGCGCGATTCTCAGCCATGGTTTTGCCGCAGGTCAAGCACAGAGTCATGTGCTTGCAATTGCTTCCATAGAGATCGGTGGTTGATCCACATCCGCTGCAACTCGCCTTCAGAAGCAGGTCCGTCGACATTTCTCCGCGTCTCAAGAGATAAATTTCACCGATTCGAAGAAACACAGAAATTCTAGGGTTCCATACTTAAGATTTCAGTTCAAATTTTTGGTGCCAGAATACCAACGCAACGCACCCGCTACCTCCGTCACAGTATAAAACTAAACTGACGGTGAGATTATTTTGGGATGAATAAAAATCTGGTTGAATTAAAACCCGTTTATCTTTGTATTAACGATATTAACACAGGGCGTGTTTAAATTTTTAAAAATAATAAGGGAAATATTAGTCTCATAGACAATAAATCTCTCCTACACACTCAAAAAGACGTGGGACCTACTTCAATTTTTTTTTCTTTTTGGAAAAAATATTTCTGCAGTTAATGCAGATAACTTATTTGCATTTATTCTCAAAACGGCGTCGTTTTTGTACTGAAATCTTAAAAAATTATAAATATAAAGACTATTATAACCCTGAAATAAATTAAAATTACAAAAACACCATGATTTCTGCTCCAAAACGACGTCGTATTGGGCTTACTGCAGATAACTTATCTGCAGTAACTGCATAAAAAGCGAACCCTTTCTTTTTTGGGTAATATTACTCTCATGTAAATTTTCAAAGTGAGAGAAAAAGAAATAACTACCTCATGTAAAATGAGAGTACTATTTCCCTTCTTTTTTCTATGCAATGGGATCCACCTAAGTTTGTGAGTGCAACATGAGATATCTTATCTCATGTTGCATAAGAAAATATAATCCCAAATAATAAATAAAGATATTGCTTAGTGTATAATATACTGAATTTTTTTTCTAATTTTTACGTTTTTTTGTCAAGCTACAAAATAATTTATGATATATGTTTTTTGGGATAAGATATTGTGACAACCAAATAATGTTATTACCAATGTTACTACTACATCTTAACCGTTGATTTTCGTCAATCAACGGTTATCATTTATTGCGAGTAATCATTTATTATTTATTGCAAATAATAAATAAATGATAATCGTTGATTGACGGAAATCAACGGTTAAGATGTGGTAATAACATTGATAGTAACATTATTTGATTGTCACAATATCCTATCTCATGTTTCTTATTACAACTAATTAATTGTATGCTTCATTACAAAAAAAAAATTAATTGTATGCGTATTTGATCTTTATTAACTTTATTTTTTTTCGTTTTTCATCACTTTTTTCCTTCCTAACTTTTTAACTCTCACATAATAAGAAATGGGATAAAAGCAGTTGATGATAACGAAGGAAAAATGAGAAAGAAAAAGAACAAGGAGAATACATGGATGCGTTTTTCAGATTCATATTGTGTTTGTATTCGCAAAAATTGATCTTAAAAAATGTATATTGTGTCGCGTTTTAATTTATGAATCCAAAATTGATTATGTTGATTTTTTTAACAATTATTCGTATGGTATTGTATCATAAATAAATTATTTGTGTCTTATCATAATAAAGTAACATAATTTGATATTAACATATTATTCATATCGTATGAATCTATATAATAAGCTATATATGTGAATTTGCAAGTTATTTATATTATATCATATTAACCCACACAGTAAGTGAGTGGTGTTATTATCTAAGATTTCATTCCGATTACAAATTTGTGCCGTATACTCGTATCCGTTCAAATTGTCCCCACTAGCCACTAGGTAATGACAAGTTTCGCCTGAAATACATAGCGAAGGTTGTTTATACAAAGCGTTTTCATTTTATCCTTTAACATAACACACCAAACTTTCTTACTCTCACAACATTTGGTGGGGCCCACACTTTTTAAAACAAAAAAATAAGGCACGCAAAACGAATCTCTATAACATTACACAATCATTTTTCCTACAACATAACTCTTATAAAACCCTTATATAAATGTAATTGCATTTTTAATTATTGCCCATCATCTTTTTTTTCAATAAAGCCATATGTTTCGATCACGATTGCTATTTTTTTCTTTATTTTCATCACTCAAGTTTACTAAATGATGCATTTAATAGAACCCGAATGAAAACACTGTCATATTATATAAGATATTCTCGTCTAATACTAATTGTGGTATTTTTTTAGGGATATAATATTATAACAATCAATTAGTGTTACTATCAATCAATTTTATCGTTAGATTGATTATGTTAATCCAACAGTTATATTTATTTTTATATACAAATGTGAAAATAAATATAAAATATTGAATATAAAAAATCATAATTATATAAAGATGAAAATAAATATAACCGTTGGATTAACATAATCGATCTAACGGTGGAATTAATGGTATTAACATTGATAGTAATACTAATTGATTGTTACAATATCCTTCCCCATTTTGAATAGAAAAGGACTAAGCTTCCTCTTATTATTACAATTTTGTTATTGGTAGTAGAATCTTTGAATTATTAACAAATAAACATATCGTAACGTAGATATGCATTTTGTGTTATTTTTCATTTGATTTAATTGTTTTTAGATTGTAAGGACCAATGGGAATTGACTTAATTGAACAAATTAGATTTTATTTCTATTATTAGAAAATGTTTCTAATAAATTATTGAGAGAAATATATTTCTCATGTTTATATCACACACACAAAACAGTGAGTGTAATTAATTTTTAATTTTTTGTTCTTTTACTTAACCGGTCTCATTTTTTTTATGAGATAATAATGCATTTCCCATTTATTTAATGTAAAATACTTTCCAATATAGTACATTAGTAAATAGTACCTATAAAACGCCAATAATAATTGAAGGGGTAGGTGGCTCCGTGGCTGTCCAAGTATCTAATCTTGACACCCTCACCAACAACCACAAGATAAGTCGAAATTATGATATAAATAAATAAATATAATATTATTATTATCAAATTATATTATTATATTTTAATCGTTAATTTCATTAACTATAAATATTTGTGAATAAATAATTAATTAAAAATTTAATTTATAAAAATAATAATTTATAATTTATTATGAATAATTAATTAACTAAAAAATTTAATTTATAAAAATAATAATCATTGATCAATAAAAATCAACGATTAAAATATAATAATGATATTAATAATTATTTACTAAAAACAATATCCTCTCCCTACTTTTAATTCAAAACCAGTAAAATAATTTTACTGACATCTGACTATAAAAAAACATAAAAAGCTTCGTTTTATTTGCTTTATTACACTAGCAATTCATTTTTCCTCCTCGTTTGTTCACTGTCTCTTTCTTTGTCCTTGTATGTGCCATGGCTACGCTGCAATGTTTCATAGAGGTTCATCCGGATTCACACTTCCCTATACAGAACCTCCCTTATGGAATCTTCAAGCCCCAACCTACTTCATCTCCTCGACCCGGCGTCGCCATCGGCGACTACGTCCTCGACCTCTCCGAGATCGCTTCTGCTGGCCTCTTCAATGGTCCTCTCCTCAACAACTCCGATTGCTTCCTTCAGGTTCCTCCTCTTTCTTCTTTACTCCCCACTTGTATCCTTCTCCAAAATCTTAACTTGAAACTGCGTTTCACTCATTCAACCAAGTAACCAACATGGGTAACTTGATATTTTTTTTATTTTTATTTTTATCTTTGCTTGTTTTTTTTTTTGGCCTAAGATATCTTAATTTATCGACTAATCACAGTCTTTTCGTTTCCCCGATAAACCGGAAGAAAGGGAAAGAATGCACCTAATTATTAGGATTAACACTTTCTCTATTTATTTATTTTTTAGTATAAGGTCTTATGATGTTGGCAGCAGTGACCAAAATGGCATTTTTTTTACGAGAGTGCCACGTGTCATAATTTGCTATCACTGGTAGCCAATGATTTCGTGTCACATTGTCATATTGCAAACCAAATTCGCTACCCCTCATAATAAATTATGACATGTCAGCTTTTTTTATGTGAAAGTGTGCCACATGTGCGAACATAATACAAATTACCCGTCGTAGCGAATTATGCTTACTGGCAGTCCGGTAAAAAGGATAAAAAAATACTGCGCGCGTCTCATTTTAGATAATTGTTTTGCAAAAAGGTGGCATTTTGGTCACTTTGTTGGTTTTGGAACCTCTGTTCTAACTGCTACCCGTGTTATGTTTATAACAGCCTAATCTAAATAAGTTTGTATCACTTGGAAGGCCAGCCTGGAAGGAAGCTCGTGCAACTCTTCAAAAGCTCTTATCAGGTACAACCTTACTTCATTCTGTTTAATTCTTCACTTTTTATTTTCTCCCAATGTTTATAATTTTACACTGCAAGCATTATTAGGATGTACATGCATGTAAAATTTTGTATGAGCTGCAGTTTGCAGATGCTGGTCCTTCCGTAAAAAGTTATTTAGTAATTAGTGCTTAGCAGGATTTATACTTTTTTGTATGAATTAGAGCTATTGGTTTTTTTATTTTATTTCTTTTTTAATGCAGCGACTGAGCCAACTTTGAGGGACAACGCTGTTTTGAGGGAGAAGTCACTTGTGCCTTTGGTATTTCACATTGTCATTCATTCCTGATTTTGTTTTTTGAAATGGTTGTTTAGTGTTTTTCAATTGGTATAATGATTTTGATGCATGCTTTTTTAGAGCCGTGTGGAATTGCTTCTCCCTGTTGTCATTGGGGACTATACCGACTTCTTTTCGTCTCTGCATCACACTAAAAATTGTGGGTTAATATTTCGTGGTCCGCAAACTCCTGTTCTAGAAAATTGGTGCGTTCATTATAAAGGCTTTGCAAATCAATTTAGAGTAAATTTTTCTCTGTAACTGAAAAAAAGTAAAACTTGTTTTCTAGGTATCACCTGCCAGTTGCCTATCATGGACGTGCATCTTCTGTTGTTATTTCCGGAACAGATATTGTTCGGCCAAGGTCAGAAGTTTTGTTGCTAATTGTAAATTTTTCTAGTCAAGAGTTCATGTGCTTAAGCAGCTTTTTAAACTGCTACCTTTTTGTAGGTCTTATGTTTATGAACTTTTAAAGATATATTCCGTCAATGTTTTGCTGCTTAACATAGGAAGCTTTGCAAAGCATGTCTTTGGCTCTAGCATATGTGATCAACAATGGAAGGATTATGGCTTTACGTGTCAGTCTTCATGTGTCACATATTCATCAAAATAGAAACATTTAGGTGGTGTTTGGTTGGAGCTTTTCAGCGGATATCTATGTTTCTCAAGTATAGCTTTTAGAAACACCATGTTTGTTTCAACGTTTTTCACCAAAAATCCATCTATCCAATTTGTCTGGATTTATGAGAAACATAGATATCCGCACGGTTTAGAAATCCAATTTGAAGGTGGGATTTTTCGGAAAACCTGTTATCTGGCTGCACTGTTGATTTCATAAAGTTACCTAATTTTCCCAGTAAAGTTTTTCCCCACCAAACAACTTTTTTTTACATTTTTCTACCTATCTCACTTTATCTATCTTTCCAATCATTTCTCTATTTATCTCATTTCCCTACTATTCCAAAAAATTTTCCTGAACCAAACACCCCTTAAGGACAACGCTAGGCTGTAGCTCCTTTTGTAGACATTATCTATTTAACTGCACTGCATTCTATCTCACAATGTTATGTTACTTTGTGCTTGTTCAGAGGTCAAGCTCATCCAACTGGCGGATCTCCACCCTACTTCGGGCCTTCAGTGAAGCTAGACTTTGAGTTGGAAATGGTTAGCTTTTTGTCTACATAGGTCTTCTTTGGCTATTTTACCAACTAAAATGCAAATGAAGTTTTATCTCAAGATTAGATATTCTGTTATTTACTTCTTCATTTTTCGTTGTTCTAATTGAGTTATCATGGTACTGCATTACTTTTCATTTCTTTTTCTTTAAATTAAAACCTTTGTTTGCCTACAGGCTACTATTGTTGGACCTGGAAATGAATTGGGAAAACCTGTGGATATTAACAACGCAGAAGATCATATCTTTGGAATTGTTCTACTGAATGACTGGAGTGGTAATTATCCAATTAAATATTTATTTTTGATGTTACTGCCCCCTATGATTGATGCTTTACTGAATTGAATTTGGCAGCTCGAGATATTCAGGCATGGGAATATATTCCTCTTGGTCCTTTTCTTGGCAAGAATTTTGGTAAGATGTTTCAATAAATTATTTCATATCTTTGAATCCTACTGAAAAAAGCTGGGCATTTGAGCATGTGCAGTTCTGACACGGATGATTACATGTGCTATTTGTACTAGATGGAAACTATTCTCTTATAGATGCTATTTGTAGAGTTAACCTTCCTTTATGGTGTGTAACTAAAATTACATAGGTACAACAATATCCCCTTGGATTGTGACCCTGGAAGCATTAGAACCTTTTGCTTGTGAAGCCCCAAAACAGGTAGCTGGTTTCTTTCTTTGGAGATTGACATTGTAGGAACTGGGCTGCTAATGCCTAAAGTTCATAATAACCATGGCATGCTATCTAATCTATCCATAAAATGCAGGATCCTCCTCCACTTCCATACTTGGCGGAAAAAGTATCCAAAAATTATGATATTTCACTGGAGGTATTTCAGAGCACCTTTGTATGCATTTACTTAGATACTATTTCTTCTTTTTGTATGTCAGATTGATGGTATTTCTTCATGGTCCTTATGTACTATATTTGAAGTAGGCTCTTTTTGTGTTCTTTATGCTTTCTTTTTCTTAGATGGTAAACAAATAACTTTTTGAGCAAGCAAGTCAATCATACTACTGCTTTTTTGCTGCAAGGTTCACATCAAACCTGCTGAGCATGAAGATTCAAGTGTGGTGACAAAGAGTAATCTAAAACACTTGTAAGGAATTTCTCTTCAACCAATATTGAGAATACAGTTTATTTAATTAGTTCCTTGCCCCGGTGACTGTTTTTATCAGTCATGTTGGCTTGAAGGCTATTGCTATTGCAATATTGATTTAAAATAAGTGAATGACCTGGAAATTTTCGGTATTATTTGCATAATTTGACCTGTTTGGTGATATATTCCCCTTGGTACACTCTGCACATGTAGGCTCTCTTAAGTGTTGCTATTTTATCAATGCTTACCCGCGCCTAATGGAGAGTCTATACATTAAAATTGTTATACATGAGACATGTATGATATATCCACTTACTCTAGCTCTCTTACTTTGTAGATATTGGACATTGACTCAACAGCTTGCTCACCATACAATCAATGGTTGCAACCTGAGGCCAGGCGATCTCCTTGGAACTGGGACAGTTAGTGGTCCTGTAAGATTCAATATTTTATTCAGCTTAACTTCTTAATCCCTTTTTCCTTTCTCTCACTTTCGAGCAATGTTCCTTATCAACTGGTCAACAAGTTTCAGTTAATTTGCATGTTTTTCGCTGCAGGAGCCTGAGTCTCGTGGATGCTTGCTAGAGTTAACCTGGAATGGACAAAACACTCTGTCAGTGAATGGGTTAAATCGGAAATTTCTTGAAGATGGAGATGAAGTCAGCTTAACTGGATATTGCAAGGTTACAATCAAGATCTTCAATGTTTTTCTGTTTCCAAAAGCTATCTTTTCAGTTTTTCATATGATAAATTTCTTAGTTTTTCAATTTTCATGTTATCTTTTTTTACTGTCTTTTGCAAATTAATTGAGTTTCAAACCTAAGACTAGCATATGGGGCCAACATAAACTAGAAAGGAAACCTTTTAACAAAATCACTGCTAATTTATTTTCTCTAATAAACTCTTTACTTAAGAACTTGTACTGCTAGGCCTGAATTGCTGCAGCTGCTAGACGCGCTCAATTAGGTGAAATTTTTGTGAATTTAATTACTTGTAGTTTGTTGGCATATTTCCTAGGGAAGCATATCATTTTCGATGATTTCTCCCTTAGCAAGTTTTGTTTTATATTGTTCTCACTTCTCACATTTGTAAGCAATTTCATTAACTAATATTAATCAGCTTGGTTTTTAAGAATGTTATTTTGACATCAACTTCAACAGTTTTTTTCCCCTAACAGTTCTATAATTGGAAGAGTAATATTAGGATCACAAATCACAACTATAGATCCACGAAAAACAGAATTGGGTTCTGCAGGGCACTGGATGACAAATTGTCTTTCAAATCAATGTCCTGCAGAGCGTAGGGTTCCCACTATGTTTGAGTCTTCTGAATTTTTTTCAAATAACATGCTTTGTTTTGTTTATAATTGTGGCATGTTAGTCTCTATTCTTGATGATCTTATTCAAAATTTTATACACCACAAATTTATCACGGAGCAATTCTTGATCCTGTTTCCTTCCCTTTTAAGTCTTTATAGTAAGATGGTTTATTTGTAAATTACAAGTTGTAAAACTTAAAGAATGTCTATTGAAAGATCTAAAATTTTTGCTTTGCAGGGAAATGGTTACACTATTGGGTTTGGTACCTGCTCGGGTAAGATTGTTCCCTCAGCTCCCTGAGGGCAGTATTATTCCATGCTGTTTTCCAACTTATGGTGGAAGTTGTTGAAGCTATACAATCAGGAAGCCCCACAAGTGAATTTTTAAGTGTTTTTTTTATGTAATTTGCTCAGCGCTTGACAAAGGACAGACACTCTAATAAAGCTGGCTTTTATGAGGCTCATAATTCTCTTTTCTGGGCTGTAGTGTGTCAAACATTGAGATAAACTAATAATCATAACGTTCACGTAGGAAATATATTATAAGATTAGTTATTATAAGCTGTTACTTTATAAAATCAGCTAAACGCTTAGGAAACTCGACACACGATTCTTATGCGGAGTGGATGGTTTTCCAATGCAGATTTCCAACATGTTATACGTTTCTCATCAAACCGTTATTGCGATGGGCAACCATGACCTTTTTATTCATACAAAATTGTAATGCATTCACTTGTGCACCGGATCAACGACAATGTGAACATTGATTAAAGAACCTTAGCGGGCCTTGAATTGTAGTTCTGAAAGCTACCCAGACACGCTGTTTGCACTATGTAGGCAAACTTGCAAAAGTTGTGACATTATGACACAGTGGATTTTATATTTTGAAATGCACCGTGGATACAATATATGGCACATTAAATAATTTTATGTATTTAATGCACACTGTCACGCACATTAAATAGATTGATAGTGGAAATTATCGCTTGTATATTTAAAGAATTTTATATCTCTTATCTCAGAATAACAAACTTTATATAAAAAATTATACAAATTGATTATCTTTACGAGGAAGGTTATACTTACAATTTTTTTTTACAACCTCTTACAACCATATTTTAACACCGTTGATTTTTGTCAATCAACGATTTTTATTTATTGTGAATTATTAATTAATTAATGAGTTTAATTTGCAAAAATGATAATCGTTGATTGACAGAAATCAACGGTGTTAAGATATGGTTGTAAGAGGTTATAAACAAAAAAGTTATAAGTATAATCTTCCTCTTAATAATTCTACTTCGAAACTTGGTTTTATCAACATCGTTTATCCAAGGAATTTTGATAAAAAGAAGAGAGAAAGATAATGTTTCATTTCTAAATTAAGAGAATTATAAAATATTTATAAATATTAAAATAATTGCAATTTATAAGACCCGGGCGCACACAGCACACGCATGGCCACAAACCAAAAATAACATAATGGGGTTGCAAAAGCAAAATGGAATATATTGGTAGAAAATGCTCTCTGCAAAGAAACAGCGAGGGAGCCAGCTCATTTGGTGGACATGATAGAATAAGAACGGATAGGATAAGAGAGTTGAATAAGAGTAGGAGATGATATAGGGTTGATAAGCATGTCCTGTGTTTGATGAGCACCTGGTTAGCAATCTGATAAGATTATGTAGAAGGAGAAAAGAGAAAGAAAAACAAAATATAATGTAATAAATACAAATATATTGGGTATCGTGGGGATATATTGGGTATCAAATATTCGTATAACCCAGCTCCCCCATAGGATAAGAAATCATGTATTGGATAGGATAAAATGAGACAATAGGATAAGCTAATCATATCCTATTGACCCACCAAACAAGAGATATAAGTAGGATATGATAAGTTATCTTATCCTATCTTCTTTATCAGGTGCTCCGAATAGGCCCTAACACTCGGTGTGCACTAGGGGTGTTAACGAGCCGAGCCGAGCCGAGCTTTGGTCTTACAAGGCTATGACTGTGTTTAAATGTGTCAGCTTGACCAAGCCTATTACCTGTTACACAAATAATTATCGACCTGTGGCCTGACTTATTTATAACATATAAAAGTATGGTTTAGCCTATTTAAAATTTTTTTTATCCAAACAGAATATACAATCTACAAGACTAGTAATTCCATAAATATTCATAAATTTAATATATATCCAAACAACATAATATAGAATAAAATTATTCAAAAACTCTGTTTAACCAATAAGATGGGGTGAAATGGATTGAGGAGAAAGAGAGAGCTATTACAAATAGTATAAAAATATAAAATAAAAAAATAATATATAATAGGCCAGGATAAGAGGCTCTAAGGTTGAGCTTTTGAATTGGAGTCTCAGACTTTTTTATTAAACGAGCTTTTATACAAGTTCAAGTCTGGTGTCAACAACTAATTTTAGACATGTAAGCTCAGGCCTTCACGAACCGAGCCAAAGGTCCCTGGTTCGTTTAACACTCTAATATGCACTAACAGAACTAAGGTGTAAACCCTTCAATTTTCTAGAGCGTGTGCCCTTATTTCAGTCAAGATTTTTCAATGCATTGGAGAATACTTTAACATGCTTTTAGAGATAAAAATACCTTCATTATAAGCATTTGATGACTCAGCACGATACCCTTTCCTATATTTGTTGATAGCGCTTCATAATTTTTTTTCATAAAAGCATGTAATGATACATGGCAAATGTAGGGAAACAAGTCGTAACAGCAAAAGCACTCAAAACACAAAATACTAAACAAAGTAATAAGAACCAACTTAGACTGCATTATTCAATAGGGGTGTTCGAGGTCTGGATTGGATCGGTTTTGGAAGCAAAAATCATCCGATCCAATCCCTTCGATTTGATCATATAATCATCCATTCGGTTTAGATTTTTTTCAAATCCGATCCGATCCAATCCAATTTTTTTCGGTTTGGATTGGATCGGTTTTCGGTTTTTTGAAAATCCTAAAATTTATTTTATGATTATTGCGCAAATAGCATATTTTGTATATATTGGTTTTGTAAAAAAAAATTTGTTTGAAATACAAAAGCATTAGTAAACTATAATATAATTTTTTTTTGGGTAATGAGATATGAAGCTCTACAAAAATAAAAAAAATTGATAAGATGTGACTAGATTTTTTCTTGAGTTTAGTTGATGGATTAATGAGTCTTGAGTTTAGAAATTTTTGGGCTATAATTGGAGAAAGACCCAAGTAGGTAGAGGGAAATTAATATATTGGATCGGTTTTCATCAACTCATTCAAAAACCGATCCAATCCAATTAAAATTTGCGGGTTTTTTTTCTTTTCTTCTGTTTTCGGTTTTTCGGTTCGGTTACCGCGGTTTGAATCAGTATGGATCGGTTGATGAACACCCCTATTATTCAACACAAAACACAATAAATTGGGTTACCAAAACCTTAAACTCAAATTTCTCTTTATGCCCGAATCTAATATTGTTTGTTACGTGTGGTCCCTCTTCATGGCACTAAGACGACGTTGCGCAGAGAATCTTGTTTGTGATTGGGAGTGCCAGTGTAACCTGCAGAGAAGAGTAGATGCAGCCATGAATGCCATGGCTCCCTACGGATTCCCTAGGGAACTCGTCAAACGTACCATTTTTCAACTTCTTAAGGGGCTTTTGGTACAGGAGAAATTTATTTTTTTACCGGAACAAATATTTTCTTGGAAAAAAGTGGAAAAACATTTTTACCGGGTAAGTTAAAAAAAAGTGTTTGGTAGGCAAAATTTAACCGAAAAATTTGGGTGAATTTTAAAATATTGATGGAAAAGAGTACCAGAATTACCAAATAACTAGCCATTCGTGTGGGTCCTATGACACACACGAGCGAACAAAAAGAATCCCATAACAAAAAATGAGAGCACACGAAATAGAACAAGAAAGCAGCAGAGATGTAGAGAATCCATATGCAGCACAACCACAACAAAGACATGCTACCTGAAATTGGGTATCCTTTGAAGCTCGAATATGGTACTGCAAGCTTCTTCCTCAACACTGTAAGGTCACAAAAATAAAGGAAAAAGCTTTGTAAGACATAAGAAAATGTGGTTCATAAAGGAGAGCTTGTCATTCACCTACCAGCCACAACGTGACGAGGGAGACGACGAAGAGCACAATTTCAGACTTCAGCTTTTGTTTGGGACAATGTGTTTTTGCACACCACATAAAATAGGGCATGTAGTATTTTTCTCTTGCAAATTTTAGTTGTCGTTCCCACCGCCTGGCAAATAATTTTTACCATACCTTCCGAGGGAAACTTTGATAAGAAAACATGTGCAAACGTGGTTGAAGGCAAAAAATGTTTCCCAATAAATTTTTAACTCTTCCACGTACCAAACGCAGCCAACTTATTTTCCCTACCCCACTATCCTGGCAAAATATTTTTTTTTCCATTATACCAAACGCCCTTACAGAGGTTATCATAGCTTTGTGTTCCTCAAAGACGACTCCTACGCTCTTCTCATTGACATCCTTCTCGAAAAACAACAATCCACTCCTTCATCCAAGGTAGCTTTCTTTTTTAAACATCGAAACAAATGAGTATGAAGCTGTTTGGATGGGCTTCTCCCTTTGCAAAAGTTTTATTCTATTTTAAATGCTTTTAGAATTTTGTTGCTATTTGTATAGTAGATTTTAAAAAAAGCAAAATTTTGTAAAAAAGTTAAATTTTTTATTTTTTTTAAGCAACTAAGATTTTTAACTTTTGATGAAAGCATAAGCCAAAAGCAAGGGTCATCATTTTACCTCATTTCCTTCCTTCCTTCGATTCCATCTTTAATTTCAGAGCATTTTCACTCTACATCATGAGACAGTTTATACAACTCACACATCTCCAAATTCAAAGGAATTGAACGGTTCCAAAAATGATGGAATCGCCAAATTCGAATTTGAGTTTGCCAATATTCCCTCCCATCAACATCGTCAGATCCTCAAAGCAGACTTGTAATGCGCCTTGTTAATTTTTCCCCTGCGTAAAACAAATTACACCGTAATACGACTAGTAACTCCATCTCGATGAAACAATCTTGCAAACGAAGGAGCCAAAAAAAATGGGGGATATGGGATCGTTGAACGAAACTTACCACGATGATGAAATTTGATGATATGATCACGATTTGGCGAAATGCAAAACGAACATTGATACGGTGCAAAATCAGGTCGCCAATGGAATGGGACATTCTTTGCGCACTGATGGTTTTTTATTTTATTAGTCGTGTTTAAAAAATGTGCAATCACAAGTGTAGTTTCGTAAACATTATCCCATTTGCCAGCAATATTTTATCATCAACCAAACAGACCTACGGTAAAATTAACTAATATTTTCGGTAATATTTTTGTCTACCAAACACCTTTTTTTAACATTCCCGGTAAACTTTTATATCCACCATATTCCCGTATATTTTTTTTCCGATAAAAAAAATATCTCCTGTACCAAACACCTTTTTTTAACATGCTTTTAGACATAAGAATACCTTCA